TTTACCTCCACCCCCCCCCTACATAGATTAACATATAAGTTATTACGATTCTTAACCAAACAGTTTACCTCACGCATATTTTGCATCGTTGAGTTATTGTAATTACCGGATAATTTCTGTCGCTGTATCGTGAGATTACCGAAAATTAATTATTTTCTTTAAATATGGGCTATAGATCTAATAATATTGAACCACTATTTAACTATTTAAATTTAAATATAAATTAGCTCATCTAACTAAAAAGAAAAGCGCTGGTCTCTTGTTAAATTTTAAATTTAATTATTTTTCTATTTAAATAATGCCACTAAAAACTAGGCATGGCCAACAGACTTCGGAGCCCTTCCCAGTATGGACCGGAGTAAGGCAGGGTTGCCTACTTTCAGCATTCCTGTACAGACTGGAGTAAGGCATGGTTGCCTACTTTCAGCATTCCTGTACAGACTGGAGTAAGGCATGGTTGCCTACTTTCAGCATTCCTGTACAGACTGGAGTAAGGCATGGTTGCCTACTTTCAGCATTCCTGTACAGACTGGAGTAAGGCATGGTTGCCTACTTTCAGCATTCCTGTACAGACTGGAGTAAGGCATGGTTGCCTACTTTCAGCATTCCTGTACAGACTGGAGTAAGGCAGGGTTGCCTACTTTCAGCATTCCTGTACAGACCGGAGTAAGGCATGGTTGCCTACTTTCAGCATTCCTGTATGGACCGGAGTAAGGCAGGGTTGCCTACTTTCAGCATTCCTGTACAGACCGGAGTAAGGCAGGGTTGCCTACTTTCAGCATTCCTGTACAGACCGGAGTAAGGCATGGTTGCCTACTTTCAGCATTCCTGTATGGACCGGAGTAAGGCAGGGTTGCCTACTTTCAGCATTCCTGTATGGACCGGAGTAAGGCATGGTTGCCTACTTTCAGCATTCCTGTATGGACCGGAGTAAGGCAGGGTTGCCTACTTTCAGCATTCCTGTACAGACCGGAGTAAGGCATGGTTGCCTACTTTCAGCATTCCTGTATGGACCGGAGTAAGGCAGGGTTGCCTACTTTCAGCATTCCTGTACAGACCGGAGTAAGGCAGGGTTGCCTACTTTCAGCATTCCTGTACAGACCGGAGTAAGGCATGGTTGCCTACTTTCAGCATTCCTGTATGGACCGGAGTAAGGCAGGGTTGCCTACTTTCAGCATTCCTGTACAGACCGGAGTAAGGCATGGTTGCCTACTTTCAGCATTCCTGTACAGACTGGAGTAAGGCATGGTTGCCTACTTTCAGCATTCCTGTACAGACTGGAGTAAGGCATGGTTGCCTACTTTCAGCATTCCTGTACAGACTGGAGTAAGGCATGGTTGCCTACTTTCAGCATTCCTGTACAGACTGGAGTAAGGCATGGTTGCCTACTTTCAGCATTCCTGTACAGACTGGAGTAAGGCATGGTTGCCTACTTTCAGCATTCCTGTACAGACTGGAGTAAGGCAGGGTTGCCTACTTTCAGCATTCCTGTACAGACTGGAGTAAGGCATGGTTGCCTACTTTCAGCATTCCTGTACAGACTGGAGTAAGGCATGGTTGCCTACTTTCAGCATTCCTGTACAGACTGGAGTAAGGCATGGTTGCCTACTTTCAGCATTCCTGTATGGACCGGAGTAAGGCATGGTTGCCTACTTTCAGCATTCCTGTATGGACCGGAGTAAGGCATGGTTGCCTACTTTCAGCATTCCTGTATGGACCGGAGTAAGGCATGGTTGCCTACTTTCAGCATTCCTGTACAGACCGGAGTAAGGCATGGTTGCCTACTTTCAGCATTCCTGTTCCTGCTGGCCATAGACTGGATTATGAAGATGTCAACAGAGGAAACGCGAAGCGGTATACAGTGGACACTGTGGAGCCAGCTGGATAACCTGGAGTTTGCTGACGACCTGGCCCTTCTTTCTCACACACAGCAGCCAATGCAAGATAAAAAAAACCAACAGTGTTGCTAATTTTTCTACATGCTTGGGCCTGACCATCCACAGAGGGAAAGGTAAAGTTCTCAAAATCAATGCATCAAACAACAACCCTATAACACTGGCAGAAGAAGCCCTAGAAGAAGTGGACAGATTCACCTACCTTGGAAGCAGTGGCGAAGCGAGGTCGGGTGTTACCCGGTGCGGCACTCAATGGTGTCACCCCCAGAGGCGTAGCGACCCTTCCCAGGGACACACTTTTAAATTTTCAATTTGCACCCCCCCCCCTCAAGTTTTTGAATTGCACCTCCCCTCAAACTTTCGATTTGCACCCCCCACCTGGAGTTTTTCTCTATATATTTTGCTATTTTTTGCCTTGGTGTCACCCCCCTAAATGGTGTCACCCGGTGCGGTCCGCACCCCCGCCCCCCCCCCCCCTCGCTACGCCTCTGCTTGGAAGTATTGTTGATAAGCAGGGTGGGACAGAAGCAGACATAAAAATAAGGATGGGCATGGCAAGAGAAGTCTTCAACCAAATAAAAAAGGTTTGGGGTTCTGGAGATTTGACCCTTAGAATAAAAATCCGGATCTTCAACACACTAGTAAAACCTGTTTTACTCTATGGATCTGAGACATGGAGAATAACTGCAGCCTGCTATAAATAAGAAGAAAATACAATCATTTATAAATGCATGCCTCAGAAAGATCCCTAACCCTGGCCTAAAACCATCAGAAATGATGTCCTATGGCAACGTAAAAATCAACTGCCAGTTGCCTTAGAGATCCTCCAGAAAAAATGGAAATGGATTGGCCACACACTAAGGACGCCTGTATCCAGCATAACAAGACAGGCCCTCGCATGGAATCCACAGGGCAGAGGCAGACCAAGTAAGACCTGGAGACGTGACCTGGAAGAAGACACCAAGAAGATTGGATACACCTGGGGACAGTTGGAGAGACTAGCCCAGGACAGAGATGCCTGGAAAGCTCTTGTCAGCGGCCTATGTCCCAGGAGGGACGACAGGCAAACCTAACCTAACTGAAAACTAGAGATCTGTTTCTAACCAAACTCAGTGTTTCTTCCAGCTAACCGACAATCCCCTGTCCATGACAGTAAAGTTATTCCTACATTATCTTAACCTATTAAACAGATTACTTAGCAAAATATTTTTAAACGTGTTAACCCCATTAAAGACACTATCCTGTAAAGTATAAAGTTTCGTCACTTTGAAAATGACACAATATTCATCTTTTTTACATGATCCAATCAGAAAGTGAGAACACAAGTCTCAAAAGACACTATTAGGCCTAGTATTGATAAATGTGTATCAACATAAATAAATTAAATGTACATTGATTTTTATCACATTTTTGTTTTAAAAGGATTTATAAATTTAAAATAAAATGTAAATTGAATGTTATCATAACGTGTTACATTGAATGTCTCTATCCTGAGGCAGCAGCTACACGTGAGACTGGATAGTTAGTTATACAAAACATTTAATAAAAAATCTTTTATTTACAACTTTTTAATGCTAAATTATAGATCTATAAAGGCTTGAGGTTTGTCTAACATTCCCATAGTCAGAGGCTATAGCTAGGGACAGTATGAAATGGTTGAAAGATGATGATAATGATGACTGAAATAATATTTCAAGTATTACTTTTAAGTTTGTTAGGGCACTCTATTTAAATAATATGATAGGCACCCAATTTAATTAATGAGACACCAAATTAAAATTTGTTAGGACATCCGCTATAAATTCATTAAAAAATGATAAACAATGCCATTTATTACTTTGGACTATGTAGTAAAACAGAAACACGAACAAATGTTGCTATATTTGTTCATGTATTTTATTTAGAATTAACATAGCCAACAAAATCAACTATTTTGATTCACAAATTGTGCTGCTACAAACTAACATTTTTTTTTCTTTATGAAAAAACAACGATGGAGGATTCTTAAGTGTAACTGATATAACATTACAAACAAGACCAACATGACTTGCATGTTATGTTCTTCAACAACTGACATTCACAAAGTTACTATTTGCCAAATTATCAACTCTACCATTTCACATTACTATTTACTTAATTATTAACTCTACCATTTCACATTGCTATTTACCAAATTATCAACTCTACCATTTCACATTACTATTTACCAAATTATCAACTGTACCATTTCACATTACTATTTACTAAATTATCAACTCTACCATTTCACATTACTATTTACCAAACTATCAACTCTATCATCCCACAACAATACCTTTCACCTGATTCCATAACAACAAGGTGAAAAGCTTTACATAATAGCTGTTCTCTTAATTTAAGGCATGATGTCAGCTTAGGGGTCATCCATTTATGATGTCCACGAGGGGGGGGGGAGAGGGGTTCAGGTCCATGTGGACGTTTACAGGTTGAATTTAACATCGACTTGCTAACAATTTAAAACAATCATAAAACTCTAATTCTGCGTGTAAAACGTGAAATTAAAACACCGCCTGTAAATGAAGCACTGGATTTACATGTACACCTGTGTCATCTATCAAAATAAGTAACTTCAAGATATTTAATGATTTTTACCTCCTCTACCTCCCGACTGTCACTAATCTTTATTTAAAACCAGGACCCAACACCTAACATGACATCACACCTCAGCCTAAACTCTCAAAACTGTAATTTAAAAGAAAAAATCAATTTTTTTTTCGAAAATATTTACTGAGCATGGGCAGCGTTGAGTTGGCATCGTTGGTTTTCATTTGAAGTTTTTAAGAACATTAACTACATGAAGCAACGGCTTTATTTCGGTTTCTAACATAATTGCAAAACGTGTCATCACACTTTCTCATCCCCCCCCCCTCGAGCCCCTCCGGAGTGTGACGTTATTTATGGACGAACCCTAATTTAAAAAAAAAACAATAGATGCCATGAACCGAGGAGGCCTTGCGACTTATTAATGTCATGAATCTAATATTAATCATTAAAATACATTCAACGAGTGCAGAAAATAATGCTGTGTTAGTGCCCCCCCCCCCCCCCACCCAACTAAGCGTTGAATGCTTTGCATGTGTTTTTGGTTGGAATTGGGAAAAATCCTTAATTTAAAAAAAAAATGTATACTTTGACGTTTAAAATTTTTTTATGGACGTCATAAAGGGATGACCCCTTACCTGCTAGTTGCAGTTTCATTTAGTCTTACACTAATGAAAATCATTGAAACAAAACTGTATTATCATGTTTATATGCAGCATTTTTAAATCATGAAGATTAGCTAATGGTTTCATACAAAACAAAATTTAGCTCTATTAATATACACCTAAGGCTTCCATTATATCAAAAACAAATTAAAATATTTGTGAGAAGAAAAACAGCTGTATATACACACACACACACACACACATATATATATATATATATATATATATATATATATATATATATATATATATATATATATATATATATACAATGTTCTGCGGGTTGCTGATATCTCAGAAGAAAAGAAATTCAAGGACACTGGTTATGATAACATTCAATTGTTACCAATAATGTATTATTAGATACATGATCTAAGTTTCTTTCTATACCTGCTACTGCTGTTGCTACAATAACAAATGCCTGTTACATCTGATAAAAAACTCACAAGCCTTCAGTGTACGTTAATCACTCCACAAGAGTGAGTTAGAACACTGCCAAGGTGTGAGGAGTGTGGAAGGGCTCTCAATATTTATTGGTAAAGCATTGACAAAATCCTATATAAATATTGCGTCAGTCTTTCTTCTGAGATCGCAACAACTTCTCAATGAGTAGGCTAGTTGCCAATAAAAAATAAATAAAGCATTATACCCTGTTTAATAGTAAAAAGTAAAGATAAAACTCAGATCTAGGATGAAAAATCAGTTTCTAGCTTCTTCTGACTTCTGTAAGCCTCCGGTCCTTCTTCCTCATGAGTGCTAAAAATAAAAGACTGTTGTTTTCTAAAGCAAAATTCTGAGAGGATATACCCAGCCAACCCTACTAAGTAGAGAATAATTGAAATGTAAAGTCGTTTCTCCAAACACACAAAGCTGGACAGGGCAAAGGTTAGAGTGAATGAAGTGGCCTTTGAGGTGTGATAGGTTGCAAAAGCCGGCGGAATGTTTTCTTTAAATACCTGAGCAACAAGGGCTGGAAAAAAAGAAAAAGTTTTTTTGTAGATGAAAGTTAATGCTAATTAAATGAAATCAAGTTTGCTTAAATATTTTATTTATTATCAGATAAAAAAAATTAGGATGACCTAATAATTCTCATTAAAATAACTTACTCCAGACCAAATCCAAATATCTTACTTGGCACAGGAAAATTAAAACTGAGCTAATATTGTCATGGCAATAAAGTTTTAGTTCTGGGACATTACAAAAGATGGAGAAAAAACAAGGAAAACCTACTATTAAATTGTGCTTGCATGATTCCTTCTGAAATTCCTGAAATGGCTGGGATTAGGAAATACACCACAACACCTTCATTCTTGGGTTCCCACAGCAGCATTCCAATGAGAGTACCCGTGTCAATTAGAACAGCCACAGTGAAAAGGACAATACGTCCCACAGGTCCTGCCATTGAGTTGATTCCTACCGCAAAGATTGCTGTGCATATTCCATAGGAGGTCATGATGTACCCCACCCATCGGACACCAATTGCACAGCTAATGTAAGACTAAAAAGTAAATAGAGCATCAGTTATGGTCAGATGAACACGTATTATGTAAGATACATACTTATCCATTCATAAACACATAAAAGCCCTAACCATAACTCTAATCAACTAAGAATTTTGAATTAACCTCTAAAAGGTCTTTAAAGCACAACTTTTGAAATCAATGCCATTTAATATTTTAATAGAGCCATCATTGAGCAGATTAACCAAATGAATTTTAACTACTGGTTGGAAACATGACGTCATATTCTGTTGGACACATGACATCAACTTTTGTTGGAAACATGATGTCAAGTTTTTGTTGGACACATGATGTCAAGTTTTTGTTGGACATATGACAACTTTTGTTGGACACATGGCATCAACTTATAATTAATTTTGTTTTGGTTGTTAAAATAAATATGTAGAGGGGTGGCGATAGGTTCTGCAAGGCATATATATATATATATATATAAATATATATATATATGTATATATATATATATATATATATATATATATATATATATATATATATATATATATATATATAAATATGGGTACCCAGTGCAAAGTACATGTGACCCAATGACCCATCCAAAAAATGTATGTGCTAAAAGTTTTGCTCACCTTAGTGTAATCAGCATAGAGCACACCGACTGCCATGGCTTGTGCCATAAACAAGGGCAGCAACAGGAGCATCCTCTTGTCAACAGCCATCCGAAAACAACTGGCCATATCAGTGAGGACTGATGAAGCATCTTTACGGATCTCAGTGTGCTGAGGCAGACAAAACAGTGTGAGCAACAGTCCACACACATTGCACACTAGGAAGACACTGAGTAAGATGTACACAACATGTCTTTCAGGCTCAGCTATAGTGCCAGAGCTGCCATTGTTGAAACTGAAAGAAAGATGTTATTTCGTTTATTGAGTTTAGTTATCTTGGGGGGTCATTAATTGCTTGACTGAGTTTAGTTATATAGGGGTCATTTGCTGAACTGTCAGTTTTTTAAATATATTTAGAGACTCAAAATAATCTAAAGAAAAAAATCAAGTTCTCAATGAATAGCCTAGAATTACATGCATGCCAATGGTGCTTTTAGTTAATTAAAGCATGGCAAACATTAATTAGCAAATTAACAAATGGTGACGTGCTGAGCGAACCAAGCAAAAAAGAATGATTTTATGCATTATGAAAATGCAAATGTGAAATAAAATCTCAAGTTATATTGTATGTGAATAGCTGATAAAGAATATGAAATTTAATTTAACCCTTTTACCTATTTGGACAATCATTTGGTCCACAAAATTTATTGTCAATGTCAGAGGTATCGTTGTAGGTGCTAGTTGATAAGACAAAGGATGAGATCATGTTGCCTGTTATCTGCGTCATTTCATAAAACATAAAAAAGATTCCATTAAACTTGCTCAGTACAGAGTGTAGAGCCAAGTCAGAGCCTGAAGCTTTGAGGGCAGCATATTTCTCACCTGCTGCAGTGATGTACATGCCCTGAGATGTCCACATCGGGCCTGCTATGGCGCCAAGGAGAGCTGATGAAGGAATGAGTGTAGCAAAGGTAGGATAGAAATTGGTGGCTGTGTAGATGATGTGTATGAGCCATGCCAGGAGGAAGACACGCTTAGCACCAAGAAGTTTGATGAAGATGGGAGCCTGAGTGCCAAATATGATGATGGTTCCGTACAGTACAGACAGTGATGTCACTCCCAGATTTGCTTCCTGATTTAAGCTACTCTGAAGATTTTGTATTGCAAGGTAGGCGGTGTAGACAAAACTGAAGGATATAGATAATACTAAACAGTTTTTCATAGGCCGAGAGATCCACTCCTGCTTGTCCATTTCATCTGCTGAAGATGGCATTTTTACACAACTGGTTTCAGTTGTTGGAGCTTAAATTAGCTCCTGTCCTTAGAGCTTAGGTTAGCTCCTGTTGTTACAGCTTAGATTAGCTCCTGATGTTACAGCTTATGTTAGCTCAAGTCCTTAGATATTAGGTTAGCTCCAGTTGTTACAGTTTAGGTTAGCTCCTGTGGTTAGAGCTTAGCTTAGCTCCTGTTGTTAGAGCTTAGATTAGCTCCTATTGTTACAAATTAGATTAGCTCTTGTTGTTACAAATTAGATTAGCTCCTGATGTTACAGCTTAGATTAGCTCCTGTCCTTCGGTTAGCTCCTGTCCTAGAGCTTAGGTTAGCTCCTGTTGTTAAAGCAGAAAAGATTTATTAAATTGTCTTCAACTGAACACATGTACCACACTACACAAACTCTTGACTCAGGGACTAAGTAGTTTATTGTTTTGTTTGTAATTGTGCATTTCGATTTTTAAAGATAGATCTAGTTTTGAAAATACTTCAGGCCTATGTGACATTTTGCATTTTCCCTGTCATGCTTGGATTGAAGTTAAATATTTGAATAAATATTTAGCCATGCTTGAATTGAAGTTAAATATTTAAATAAATATTTAGCCATGCTTGAATTGAAGTTAAATATTTAAATAAATATTTAGCCATGCTTGGATTGAAGTTAAATATTGAAATAAATATTTAGCCATGCTTGGATTGAAGTTAAATATTGAAATAACTAAAGGCTAAAAGTTTCTACTTCACAAATTTACAAGGATGTATTTGTTACATCCTTTGATAATGTCATCAAGGAATGAGAAAACCCATTCTAAAAATGAAATGAATGTATTGTTTACTTTTAAATTTGTTAAAGGTAATTCTTGGCATTAAGTGAATGTTAACCTACATACTTTCTTTGTCTAGCGGTTCTTGGCATAGTAAACATACATTGGTTAAGTACACGACTACCTCTTTCCATTGACTCAAGATTGGAATGTGCATATAAGCCATATCATTTGACAGTTAAACCTTTGAGCAAAACAAGATTGGAATGTGCATATAAGCCATATCATTTAATAGTTAAACCTTTGAGCAAAACAAGATTGGAATGTGCGTATAAGCCATATAATTTAACAGTTAGGTATCAGCTTGGTGCAATATAAATATATGATAATTTATGGAGATTTTTGATGCGCCAAGGGTAAAAAATTCATCTGGTAATACTTCCTGAACAGACGCAATGCTCTTGTTGATGCAATTTGTAAATTAAAGTTTATGGTACCTTCGTCACATGGTAAATTTTTTTTTATGAAGTTAATATTACAAGCAAAATGTTTTATAAAGAGGATTCTGCGATTAATTCAGGTACAAAACAAATTCAAGTGACTAAGAATTACCTCTTAAAATATACGTGTGCAAATGCTTTTGAAGAAGGTTTAATTGATGCTGCAAATGGCGAAGGAATTAGAAACAGACATGAGATTTGAGCCCGATTTAATGTAGAAGGAGAAATAATTGCAGTTTGAATATGGAGCTCAGGACAAGATACCACAGGTAAATTAACAGAAACTCAAAGTAGAAGTCTACTACACTTTCTTGACCATGGCTATAAGATCTATTGAAGAGAGGCTACAACAATTAGAACAACATAATATTCTATTTGGCTTCCTTTATGATATATCTGATATCAACATAAAGACACCTGCGGATATACTTAACTGACTGAAAGCATTTTGGAAAATCGTTTATGCATAATGGTAATAAATACTGATGATCTTAGAAATGAATTTCATTTAGTAGATCAAAGGCTTCCAAAGCCTATGTCACCATCAGATGTGCTTCTCTATGATACTATGTGTGCCAAATGTTTTTTCCTTGAGAATACCATCAACATCTCCAGTGTCTGTGGCTAGTGACAACGCAGTTTTTCAAAATTGAGTACAATAGAAAACTTACTTGCGTACAAGAATGTCACAAAGTGAACTTGAGTACAATAGAAAACTTACTTGCGTACAAGAATGTCACAAAGTGAACTTGAGTACAATAGAAAACTTACTTGCGTACAAGAATGTCACAAAGTGAACTTGAGTACAATAGAAAACTTACTTGCATAAAAGAATGTCACAAAGTGAACTTGAGTACAATAGAAAACTTACTTGCGTACAAGAATGTCACAAAGTGAACTTGAGTACAATAGAAAACTTACTTGCGTACAAGAATGTCACAAAGTGAACTTGAGTACAATAGAAAACTTACTTGCGTACAAGAATGTCACAAAGTGAACTTGACAACAATTTCATTAGAGTGTGATTAAGCTTTGACAATAGAATTGAAAGAATTAGTATTAACTTTTTAGATGAAGGAGGTACATAAAAATAAATTTTGTAGTCTATTTGTAATATTTTTGCAATTGAAAATAGATTAATATGTCCTTTAAGTGTATTGTTTTCTTATAAGCCTACATATTTTTCTTTTTTATTCATGTGTGGGAAAGGGGGCGTTCTAATCACTTTTATCTAGGGCCCTAAATAACGGGGTGCTGGTTAAGTATGATTTATGTCAACTTATTTTTTCAGTTTTATATTCAATATTTCTCTACAAAGTGTTATTGTAATGTTACATCAAAACTTATTATTTCAGTTTTCCCCAACATAAACTTGAGTTTTTCTGAAAGTTAAAATAATAGGGTGTAAACATCAACACATCATTATCACAGAGTCAATAAACAACAGCTGATGTTTTAATTAGCTTTCTAATGAGATTTTACTGTAGCCGCCTGTAATATACTAACCTGTGTTTCAAGTTAGGATGTCTCACAATAAAAAACAGTTTCTAAAATATTTATTACTCAAATGGTTTTGTACACTCTCTTTAGCTTAACAGACAGAAAAATGTTTTTGTAACACATGGAGATGGCAAGGTGTGTGGGATGGTGTTAGTGATGTAAGTGTGTGGAATGGTGTTAGTGATGTTAGTGTGTGTGGCATGGTGTTAGTGTGTGTGGGATGGTGTTAGTGATGTTAGTGTGTGGGATGGTGTTAGTGATGTAAGTGTGGGATGGTGTTAGTGATGTAAGTGTGGGATGGTGTTAGTGATGTTAGTGTGTGTGGGATGTTGTTAGTGATGTAAGTGTGGGATGGTGTTAGTGATGTGTGTGGGATGGTGTTAGTGATGTAAGTGTGGGATGGTGTTAGTGATGTAAGTGTGGGATGGTGTTAGTGATGTAAGTGTGTGATGGTGTTAGTGATGTAAGTGTGGGATGGTGTTAGTGATGTAAGTGTGTGGGATGGTGTTAGTGATGTGTGTGTGTGTGGGATGGTGTTAGTGATGTAAGTGTGTGGGATGGTGTTAGTGATGTTAGTGTGGGATGGTGTTAGTGATGTTAGTGTGGGATGGTGTTAGTGATGTAAGTGTGTGGGATGGTGTTAGTGATGTAAGTGTGGGATGGTGTTAGTGATGTAAGTGTGGGATGGTGTTAGTGATGTAAGTGTGTGGGATGGTGTTAGTGATGTAAGTATGTGAGGGATGGTGTTAGTGATGTAAGTGTGGGATGGTGTTAGTGATGTAAGTGTGGGATGGTGTTAGTGATGTAAGTGTGGGATGGTGTTAGTGATGTAAGTGTGGGATGTTGTTAGTGATGTGTGTGAGGGATGGTGTTAGTGATGTAAGTGTGGGGGATGGTGTTAGTGATGTAAGTGTGTGGGATGGTGTTAGTGATGTAAGTGTGTGGGATGGTGTTAGTGATGTTAGTGTGGGATGGTGTTAGTGATGTTAGTGTGGGATGGTGTTAGTGATGTTAGAGTGGGATGGTGTTAGTGATGTTAGTGTGTGTGGTGGTGTTAGTGATGTAAGTGTGGGATGGTGTTAGTGATGTAAGTGTGTGTGTAGGATGGTGTTAGTGATGTAAGTGTGGGATGGTGTAGGTGATGTTAGTGTGGGATGGTGTTAGTGATGTAAGTGTGTGGGATGGTGTTAGTGATGTTAGTGTGGGATGGTGTTAGTGATGTAAGTGTGTGGGATGGTGTTAGTGATGTAAGTGTGGGATGGTGTTAGTGATGTAAGTGTGTGGGATGGTGTTAGTGATGTAAGTGTGAGGGATGGTGTTAGTGATGTAAGTGTGGGATGGTGTTAGTGATGTAAGTGTGTGGGATGGTGTTAGTGATGTAAGTGTGGGATGGTGTTAGTGATGTAAGTGTGTGGGATGGTGTTAGTGATGTAAGTGTGTGTGGGATGGTGTTAGTGATGTAAGTGTGGGATGGTGTTAGTGATGTAAGTGTGTGGGATGGTGTTAGTGATGTAAGTGTGTGGGATGGTGTTAGTGATGTAAGTGTGGGATGGTGTTAGTGATGTAAGTGTGTGGGATGGTGTTAGTGATGTAAGTGTGTGGGATGGTGTTAGTGATGTAAGTGTGGGATGGTGTTAGTGATGTAAGTGTGTGGGATGGTGTTAGTGATGTAAGTGTGTGGGATGGTGTTAGTGATGTAAGTGTGTGGGATGGTGTTAGTGATGTAAGTGTGTGGGATGGTGTTAGTGATGTAATTGTGTGTGGGATGGTGTTAGTGATGTAAGTGTGTGGGATGGTGTTAGTGATGTAAGTGTGTGGGATGGTGTTAGTGATGTAAGTGTGTGGGATGGTGTTAGTGATGTAAGTGTGTGGGATGGTGTTAGTGATGTAAGTGTGGGATGGTGTTAGTGATGTAAGTGTGTGGGATGGTGTTAGTGATGTAATTGTGTGTGGGATGGTGTTAGTGATGTAAGTGTGTGGGATGGTGTTAGTGATGTAAGTGTGTGGGATGGTGTTAGTGATGTAAGTGTGTGGGATGGTGTTAGTGATGTAAGTGTGGGATGGTGTTAGTGATGTAAGTGTGTGGGATGGTGTTAGTGATGTAAGTGTGTGTGGGATGGTGTTAGTGATGTAAGTGTGGGATGGTGTTAGTGATGTAAGTGTGTGGGATGGTGTTAGTGATGTAAGTGTGTGGGATGGTGTTAGTGATGTAAGTGTGGGATGGTGTTAGTGATGTAAGTGTGTGGGATGGTGTTAGTGATGTAAGTGTGTGGGATGGTGTTAGTGATGTAAGTGTGGGATGGTGTTAGTGATGTAAGTGTGTGTGGGATGGTGTTAGTGATGTAAGTGTGTGTGGGATGGTGTTAGTGATGTAAGTGTGTGTGGGATGGTGTTAGTGATGTAAGTGTGGGATGGTGTTAGTGATGTAAGTGTGTGGGATGGTGTTAGTGATGTAAGTGTGTGGGATGGTGTTAGTGATGTAAGTGTGTGGGATGGTGTTAGTGATGTAAGTGTGGGATGGTGTTAGTGATGTAAGTGTGTGGGATGGTGTTAGTGATGTAATTGTGTGTGGGATGGTGTTAGTGATGTAAGTGTGTGGGATGGTGTTAGTGATGTAAGTGTGTGGGATGGTGTTAGTGATGTAAGTGTGTGGGATGGTGTTAGTGATGTAAGTGTGGGATGGTGTTAGTCATGTAAGTGTGTGGGATGGTGTTAGTGATGTAAGTGTGTGTGGGATGGTGTTAGTGATGTAAGTGTGGGATGGTGTTAGTGATGTAAGTGTGTGGGATGGTGTTAGTGATGTAAGTGTGTGGGATGGTGTTAGTGATGTAAGTGTGGGATGGTGTTAGTGATGTAAGTGTGTGGGATGGTGTTAGTGATGTAAGTGTGTGGGATGGTGTTAGTGATGTAAGTGTGGGATGGTGTTAGTGATGTAAGTGTGTGTGGGATGGTGTTAGTGATGTAAGTGTGTGTGGGATGGTGTTAGTGATGTAAGTGTGTGTGGGATGGTGTTAGTGATGTAAGTGTGGGATGGTGTTAGTGATGTAAGTGTGTGGGATGGTGTTAGTGATGTAAGTGTGTGGGATGGTGTTAGTGATGTAAGTGTGTGGGATGGTGTTAGTGATGTAATTGTGTGTGGGATGGTGTTAGTGATGTAAGTGTGTGGGATGGTGTTAGTGATGTAAGTGTGTGGGATGGTGTTAGTGATGTGTGTGGTATGGTGTTAGTGATGTAAGTGTGGGATGGTGTTAGTGATGTAAGTGTGTGGGATGGTGTTAGTGATGTAAGTGTGGGATGGTGTTAGTGATCTAAGTGTGGGATGGTGTTAGTGATGTAAGTGTGGGATGGTGTTAGTGATGTAAGTGTGTGGGATGGTGTTAGTGATGTAAGTGTGGGATGGTGTTAGTGATGTAAGTGTGTGGGATGGTGTTAGTGGTGTAAGTGTGGGATGGTGTTAGTGATGTAAGTGTGAGGGATGGTGTTAGTGATGTAAGTGTGGGATGGTGTTAGTGATGTAAGTGTGTGGGATGGTGTTAGTGATGTAAGTGTGGGATGGTGTTAGTGATGTAAGTGTGTGGGATGTTGTTAGTGATGTGTGTGAGGGATGGTGTTAGTGATGTAAGTGTGGGATGGTGTTAGTGATGTAAGTGTGGGATGTTGTTAGTGATGTGTGTGAGGGATGGTGTTAGTGATGTAAGTGTGGGATGGTGTTAGTGATGTAAGTGTGGGATGGTGTTAGTGATGTAAATGTGTGGGATGGTGTTAGTGATGTAAGTGTGTGTGTGGGATGGTGTTAGTGATGTAAGTGTGTGTGGGAAGACTGTACAGGGTAATTGTGATGGAAATGTAACCTGTAGTGAATGTAATGTAAGAAGTTATGAAAGAGAGATGTGGAGATGGATAGTACTGGATGTGCTGTGTGTGAAAGTCTCAAAGGTTGTATCATGAGGTATGTTTAAATAGTTGTTGATAACTTTATTTTTAAAAACTTCTGATATATAGTTTTGTTAAAAATATTTTCATTACACTTTTGAAGCATATTATGTTCATGTATTCCTATATCATTTTTCTGAAATACAACCTAATCATATAACTTTTTGTTCTGCTTCACAGTAATAAAAACAAATGTAAAAAAAGACCAAACTTTTTATAGACAAACCTTTGTCCAAGTCTCCAAGCATGAGACAATTAGTTAGACATTGACCATGTCAAACTGATTGTGTGACTGACATTGGCTGGGAATGTACCATGTCATGGTTCATCTGAACAATAATTATAGAGCATATATTGGCCTATTATATAGTCTTATAGAATAAAGACTCTAGAAGTTAAAAACCTTTTAAAAGTAAAATAATTCTTATAACCAAACAGCAAAGTGGAGCAAACAATGACAGAATAGTCTAGAACATGTAGCTTACTCTAGTCTCTAGAATAGACAGTAGCATGACATATTTAATTTAAAAAAAATTTTAAGCCCAAAATCATATAAGTTAGCTTGAGGAGATTGATGGCTTTCCACTGATACCAATGTGAGCTGTGGCAACTACGTTCATTTTAAAGAGTGCGATAGACTATGGATACCATAACCATTGTTCACTATATCGAATCAGGCACATCTTCCAGTGCCCCAACAGGGTGCAATTTGGCGCCCTGGGCTCCCCAGTGAGCACTATAGTCCTTACTTTCGTTTTAAAGCATGCAATACACTATGGTTCAGATGAGCTACTTTAGTCATTGACTAAACAGAATGATGCACCTATTCTGGCGCCCCAGCAGGATGCCATTTTGCGCCTCTGTGAGCACCATAGTGCCTACATTTGTTTTAAAGTATGTGATACACTATGAATACGGCAGGCTATCATATTTGATGACTAATAAAATCTGGCGCGTCTGCCTTTGCCATGACAGGGTGCGATTTTTTAAACAGCATCCTACAATAAGGACACAGTGGCACACGATAATTAAACTGAGCCTAATCTGGGCAGTGACCGAGGTATGTTCTACCTCAAGGGTACACTCAAGCCTTTCACACATAGTACCGTGGACAAAACCGTGCATTGACAACTACGATCCAAGAAATCAAGTACCTGCTTTGTTCACATTAAATAATTCAGTTCTAGAAAACTAGGACATGCATCTAAAAATACAGGATTGGTAACACACTAATGAAATCCTCTTAAAATATTGAGCCAGTCTTTTTTCTGACACTGCAGTGAAGTGCAGGGATCTCTAGCAATAGGATAAAAAATGGGAAATGAGCAAAAACTTTATTAAATAATTTCATATCAAAAAATAATTCTAACATGTTCACTATACATTGTACAAGTCCAGAAAAAACGTGCAGCATCTAAGTTAATAAAATCCATGAGAAAAATGTTTTCATTTAACATTAACTTTTTACGAATTTTTTTCCTAGACATGTTTAGTTATACATGTTGCAAGTGTAAACACGTTGTAATGATACATTTTGAAACAAGGGTGGTTCTTTTAGATAAATATTGCAAAACTAAGAGAACTGACTTTTTCAATTTATTATGACTAATTATATAGGAAAATACAAGATGACTACTGTTGGTCAAAATCTTTAAAAATTTTGGGGCCTATAAAAAATGTATGCCAATTTAATCAAATTTTATAATAAAAAATATTGTAAAAACTTACTGAAAGTTATCTTCCCTTTGTCCCCTTTGTTTACAATAGTTTACATTTAAAATTTAAGGAGTCACCTGTTTTTCACATTACTAGATCTAGATCTAGCCGCGGGCGATTTTACGTACCTAAAACGATAGATAACCAATATTAAATATAGTCATATAGGTCTAGAATCTATATTACATATATTACATTTATGTGTCACGTCGCCGCACACACACCTTGTGATGAATACACACCGCAGCGGTTCGCTGGAACACACAACAATGTCACGTGCTACGTGTCTCTAGATAGGCCGGCCTAGTAATATTACATTAACTCTATATAGGTCAAACCAGTGTCGTAGGTTTGAATTGTTCGTAGAGGGGAGAGGGAGTTTAGTTTTTCCCTATACATAGATTAGAAATAGATCTAGATCTAAATACGGCATGGAAGGGTGGTGAGGAGTCTGACAACGATATTAACCATCGCCATCAGCGAAATATAATAATATCCTAATATTCTATTTTATGTGTCTAGAATAGAGGGTCGTCCCACTCGTAAGGGGGAGAGGTCGGTAACTTTAGGTGTTACATCTTTTATGGTGGGGGGCAGGGGCGGAACTACAGTGCCGCCAGACCCCGCAATGCGGGGGGGGGGGTCGTATAGGGGCCCACGGCTGACCATAATTAATATTTTTAAAAATTTAGAATTTAATTTTCGTGCATTTTTGCCTTGATATTTGGTTTGTAAAAAAGAAAAATACTGTAGCTGCGGTACGATTATCTTTATTTTACAGTCTCTATACCACGCTCTTCCACAAAAAATAAAATCCATTACACAAACTACAGTGTAAAATATACGCAACTCCTCAAATTTGAATGACTTCTTTAACTCGTTGCCCCCCCCCCCCCCCTTTGATAGCTAAATAGAGGACACGTAACTGTATGACCGATCCTCCATAGCACGAGAAGCCGCTACATATGAAGTGGGCTTTCATGATGCGCGGTTCTTCCTTGCGGCATTGGTTAGGGACCCGAAATCCATTGTACATTTTTCAATGTTAATATGTGTTTGTGATAGTGGTTGAATTTGTATTCTGTACGATCTTGTATCCTACAAATAATAAAAAATAATATAATACTAGAAACTTCAGTT